CTCAGCGCTATGCCTGGCGCTGGGGGAATTGAACATTCTGTTCCAGCGCCCCAGGCAGCGCTGGGCGCTGTTTTCGCGATTTTTTATTTTTTATTTTTTTATTTTAAAAAGAAATCCCTATACCCCGAGCCTTTTATATAGCCAATTTACATGTCCTACACCATTCTACTTATCATTTCTACTCCTACAAGGAAAATACAAATTAAGAAGTTAAACTAGGAAAGCAACAAAAATTGGGTTGCCTCCCAACAAGCGCCTGATTTAACGTTGCGGCACGACGCAGAGTCTTGCTTACTCATCAGCGAGTACAACCTTGGTCTTCTCACGATTAGTTACTCCTCCTGTCCGTTCACAAAAAAATTCCTTTCACCATTTAAAGCTCGCAGCTCAATTGCACCATAAGGAGTGACCCTCACCACCTCAAACGGGCCTGACCATCTCAATTTTAGCTTTCCAGGAAACAGCCTTAGCCTCGAATTGAATAATAATACCTGTTGGCTTGGCTCGAAGTGACGCGGCTTGATATGCTTGTCATGCCATCTTTTTGTCTTTTCTTTATAAAGCTTAGCATTTTCATAAGAGTGCAGCCTGAACTCCTCTAACTCATTCAACTGCAAAAGTCTTTTCTCGCCCGCGGCTTCAAGGTCCATGTTCAGCTTCTTAATGGCCCAATATGCCTTGTGTTCCAGTTCAACGGGCAAGTGACATGCCTTCCCATAAACAAGCTTGTAAGGGGATGCCCCAATTGGCATTTTATATGCAGTTCTATACACCCATAAGGCATCATCTAACTTTTCAGCCCAATCCTTCCTATTCACACTCACTGTCTTCTCTAATATCTACTTTATTTCTCTGTTTGACACTTCTACTTGCCCACTTGTTTGAGGATGATATGCTGTAGCAACTCTGTGGCGAACTCCATATTTAGCTAGCAGGTTATTCAACAACCGATTGCAAAAATGAGTCCCCTCATCACTAATTAAGGCACGTGGAGTCCCAAATCTCGAAAATATATTCTTTTTCACAAAAGCAGCTACCACCATGGCATCATTTGTTGGCAAAGCAATTGCCTCCACCCATTTTGACACGTAGTCAACTGCTAGCAAAATGTATTTATTTCCTCTGGACGGTGGAAATGGTCCCATAAAATCTATCCCTCACACATCAAAAAGCTCAACTTCTAGGATGTTATTCAAAGGCATCTCATGCCTCCTTATGATTGTCCCTGTTCTCTGACATTGGTCACACTTCTTAACGAATGCGTGAACATCCTTGAATAGAGTTGGCCAAAAGAGACCAGATTGTAGTACCTTTGCAGCTGTTCTATCTCCTCCATGATAGCCCCCATAAGGTGATGCATGACAATCATACAACACTAATTTCACCTCTTTTTCTGGAATGCATCTCCTCACCAACTGATCAGCACATTGCTTGTACAAATATGGCTCATCCCAGTAGTAGAAGTTCACATCATGTAGAAACCTCTTTCTAGCTTCAGATTGGATTTCAGGAGGAAGTACCCCGCTCACAAGATAATTCACATAGTCTGCGTACCATGGGGGGGGGGGGAGGTCTTGGGTTATAGCAAAAAGTTGCTCATCGGGAAATACTTCTTTAATTTGGCCCCCCTCCTCCACGTGATTGTGATTTTCCAGCCTTGATAGATGGTCAGCTACTTGGTTATTTGTCCCCCTTCAATCTCGTATTTGTATATCAAATTCTTGGAGCAACAAAACCCAACACATCAATCTAGACTTAGATTCCTTTTTTGTAAACAGATACCTGATTGCTGCATGATCGATATGGACTATGACTTTCGTTCCTACCAAGTATGCCCGAAATTTATCAAAGGCCCACACAACAGCTAACAACTCCTTCTCGGTGGTGGTGTAATTCAGCTGTGCATCATCAAGAGTCTTACTCGCATAGTAGATGGAATAAAACACCTTGTCCTTCCTCTGGCCTAGCATTGCCCCAATAGCGTGGTCACTTGCATCACACATAAGTTCAAATGGTAAGGACAAATCGGGTGCCACAATAATGGGAGCAGACACCAACTTCTTTTTGAGTTCTTCAAATGCCTTGAGGCAGGCGTCATCAAAGTTGAAAGTTACATTCTTTTCAAGCAACCTGCACAAAGGAGTAGCAATTTTAGAAAAATCTTTAATAAAGAGTCGATAGAAACCCGCGTGTCCCAAGAAACTCCGGACACCCTTCACTGAAATAGGTGGAGGTAATTTTTCAACCGCCTCCACCTTCGCCTTATCAACTTCAATGCCGCTCCTAGATACTCTGTGACCCAACACGATGCCTTCTTGTACCACAAAATGGCACTTTTCCCAATTCAGTACCAGATTTATTTCTTCACAACGGGCCAACACCTTGCTTAAATTCCTCAAGCAATCATCATAAGAAGACCCAAAAACTGAAAAATCATCCATAAACACTTCCACAAATTTTTCCACCATGTCGGTGAAAATAGCCATCATGCACCTCTGGAAAGTGGCTGGTGCATTACAAAGACCAAACGACATTCCCTTGAAGGCAAAAGTACCATAAGGACAAGTAAAAGTGGTCTTCTCCTGATCCTCTAGGCATATGACAATCTCATTGTATCCCGAATAACCATCAAGGAAGCAATAATATTCATGCCCAGCTAATCTGTCTAGCATTTGGTCAATGAATGGAAGTGGGAAGTGGTACTTGCAGGTTGCTTTGCTGAGCCGTCTATAATCAATGCAGACTCTCCACCCCATCACAGTGTGAGTAGGAATTAGCTCATTCTTGTCATTCTCAATCACAGTCATTCCTCCCTTTTTGGGCACACATTGAACTGGGCTTACCCAGTTGCTGTCAGAAATAGGAAAAATGATACATGCATCGAGCAACTTGATTACTTCCTTTTTCACCACCTCTTTCATAATGGGATTTAACCTCCTCTGCTGCTCCACACTAGGGCGGTGTCCATCCTCCAAGAAGATTTTATGCATGCAAACCGATGGACTAATTCCCTTGATGTCAGCAATAGTCCACCCAATAGCCTTTTTATGCTCGCAGAGTACTCTGAGCAATTTTTCTTCTTGAGTGTTGGTCAAGCTGGACGAAATAATCACGGGAAATGTCTCAGAGTTCCCCAAATAAGCATTGCGCAGATGCGCTGGAAGCGGCTTAAGTTCTAGCTTCGGAGCTTCTTCAATAGATGGCTTAGGAGGGGTCAGAGTGACAGGCCTGTCCAACTCCTCAAATTTTCCAAACCTATGGACATAATTGCAAGACATATCCAGTACTTGCTCAATTTCTCCCATCATTTCATCTTCACTATCTTCTTCATCCCCAATCAACACTCGTTCAACAGGATCTACAGGGCTCATATAGGGCACTAACGATGTGGCATCACTCTCAACCACAGAGATCATGGATAACTCTTCATAGTGGGCTGGCAACCTGAGTGCTTTATAAACATTGAATACCTCCACTCGATCACCTACTCTCATCGCCATCTTTCCTTTGCAAACATTAATAATAGCTCGGCCCGTGGCTAAGAATGAAAGCCCCAAAATAAATGGGACTTCCTGATCGGGCTCGTAGTCCAAGATAATAAAATCAGCAGGGAATATGAAAGACCCCACTTGAACTAGCACATCTTCAATCACTCCTTCAGGATGAGCAAGGGAGCGATCAACCAGCTGTAAGATTACCGTTGTTGGGCGTGGCTCACCCAACCCCAATTATTTGAACACAGATAGCGGCATCAAATTGATGCTCGCTCCAAGATCACATAAGGCTCGCCCAACTGCATGTTTACCAATCGAGATTTGGATAGTGAAACTACCTGGATCCTTCAATTTCTGAGGTAACTTGCTTTAAATTCTTGAGCTACACTCCTCAGTGAGTGCTACGGTTTCGAACTCGGTCAGCCTCCTTTTATTTGCCACAATGTCCTTGATGTACTTTGCATATTTGGGTACTTCCTGTAATATGTCAACCAATGGAATATTAATCTGCACATGCTTCAAAATATCAAGAAACTTTTTATACGCGGCGTTATCCTTGACTTTCTACAATCTTTGAGGGAACGGAGGTGGTGGCCTTGCAACCACTGGTAGGGGTTGCTCAGCCACCGCCTCTCCAGCTGGCTTCTCAGACTCCTTAGGTTTTTCTGATGTTGATTCAATAGTGGATGGCCTCTCATTAAAAGTCACATGTTTCCTCTTTTTCGACTGTACTTCTTCTAATTATCTTCCATTCCTCAACGACACGGCATTAAGGGATGCCTTAGGATTAGCTTCAGTGTCACTTGGAAGAGCTCCAATTGGTCTAGTGTTTTGAGCATTGGCAAGTTGTCCCATTTGGCGCTCCAAATTTCTGAAATCGGTCATGAGCTGTTGATTGTCAAGCAACAACTGCTTCAACAAATCATTCGCATTCTCTTCTACCTGTTGAGGTGGCTTCTGAGGTTGATTGAAATTTCCTTGGGGTTTATAATGATTCTGATTCGGCTGATTTCCACCCCATGAGAAGTTGGGATAATTCTTCCAAGGTTATAAGTGTTCCATAATGTGCATTCTGATTCATTGGACCCCTGCTCTGTTGTCCCACATAGTATATAGATTCTGGATTCGTGGGGCACATGTCACTCATATGGTTGTCACCACATAGTTTGCAGCAAAGAGACATCTGTTGTACATGTTGCATCTGTTGTGTCTGTTGCATTGTTATTCTATTCACCTAGTTTGCCAATTTTGTTATATCAGCTCTCATGGCCGAGAAGTCATCAAGCTCAATCAACCCGGCTGCCTTCTGTTTACTTGCCTTGCGTGAATCCCCATATCCTTGCCAGTTATGATCATTAGCAGTGAAGTTATTGAGCAAGAGTTGAATTTCACTATATGGTTTCGCCATGCAACTACCCCCATAAGCTGAATCAAGATTCATCTTTGAGGCCTCATCTAGTATGAGCACGTGATTTTTGCCTCGCATGATTTACTCCTACAGAATTCCTAAAGTTAGGATTTTTCTTTTAATTATTCGATTTTTAGGAATTAATTGCATAATTTTCGTGTTTATTTGCATTTTTTCTTTGTGCATTTTTAATTTAACATAATTCATAAAAGTACAAAAATACGCATTGCATTTGCATTTAGGATTTGATTTTACATTTTGGATTAATTAGTAATTAGGGTTTTACAAAAATACAAAAATCACAACAAATTCGATTTGCTTTGCTTGGTTTAAATTCTAGCTTTGAGTTTTATTAGTTTCCTTAAATTGGTATTTTACTAATAGTTTTAATTATAGCTTAATTAGGTAGGTTGAATTGATTTCTTTGGTTCAATTTTAGTTTTGTTTTAAATTTGAAAAAAGAAAAAGAAAAGAAAATAAAAAGAAAAAGGGTCTTCTTTGGGCCAGTTCAGGATTCAATTCATCAGCCCAATTAATTAACCCTCGAAACCCGTTCAAAAATGCCCAAACCCGGCCTAGGATCCGGTCCAACACCCCCAGGTCCTCCAAACGACGTCGTTTGGTTTATAATCAAACTCAGTCGTCTAGGTTTTTTGATCTAACGAACGAGAAGCTGGGGTGCTTTAATATTTAATTGTCCAAACAAGCCTACCCCCCCTCCCCCCAAGCCTCGTCTCTCTCAACCCTAGCCAACCCTAGAGACACCCCTCCCTGAGCCGCCGTCTGCCGCCGCCGAAAATCGCCCGCGGCGGCGGCGAGTCTCCAATAGCTCCCAAATTTTCACCATAAC